TGGGGAGAAGATCGGTGTCTTTGAGGGTTGTATTCTATTTCTAATTCTCCTCCTCTGACTTTGTTAGTAATAAATTCACTACATAACTTAAGTAGCACCTGTTTTGTCTGTCAAGCGTTTCCTCCCGGCTCCTTATCTCAACTCGTGAACCCTTTGGTTAATTTTTTTATTCCCTCGSTCTTCTCTGTCCAGTGGTGGTAGGGGAGAGCGAATGAGCAGGTGTTGTGGGTGCCTGGCTTTCGGCCACCATTCTAAATCACGACAACCACATAGATGAATAACAGCGATGCAATTTGATAAAACCACACAAAATTTATGTGATCAGCTAAAAGCATCAATAGAGTAATTCTAGTTAAGGGCATCACGCTTATAGAAGACCTTTCTGTTTGCCATAGCCTAAGCTACAGCGTGGTCAGAGCTCAGGAAGGTGGTATATGTGGGGAGTTCGCACTTACTTTTTTGACTTTCTCCAGCATTTTTACAGTCAGGTTCCCGGTTCCCGGGCCCACTTCCAGAATTACATCAGTGCGGCGCAGGGCAGCCTAAGGACAACACAGCATTTTGATGGATTCCTACGACCGATTTTGTGCAATCATTTGACTTTAGAATGAAATTAAGTGATTTTTGCACAGTAAAAAGCTGGAATTTGGTATCAAGGAAGCTTGACAGTTGTTTAGAAAGGAATGAGTGGGAGACATAGCCAGTAAAAATGTCCTGGCACTGGTGTATGCGGGATCGCGGGCCACTTGCAAAGAGACAGCGAGTGGCCGCTCTAAATGAAAAATAAACACAAGCGCACCACACACACACAAAAGGAATCATGATCGCAATGCCGCGGTTCAGCCCCGCAGCCCGGAGCCAGGACTGCGGCCGCGCTTCCCCGGCACCTCCGCCCGCCGCTCTCCCGGGCCCGCCGCCGCTCCCACCTTATCGATGATGCTGTTCACAACCAAGGGGTTCTTCAGGATGTGCTGCCCGGCCCCGGTGTTGAAGAGGATGCCTAGGGCAGACACCGGCATGTCACTGCGGGCAGCCGCGACCCACCCACATGCCGGCACTCGCTCSGGTGCGAGCGCCGGCCCGGCCTCGGCTGCCGGGACCCTGCATGCCGGCCCGGCCCACACTCACCGCCGGCGCGACCCTCCCGGCGCTCCGGGCGCTTCCCGGCCCGCGCCTTGGGCATGGCGGCGGCTCCGCCTGGATCTCTTCAGCCCCGCTCCGGCCGGCTCGGCTCGGTTCGGCTCTGCTCGGCTCTGCTCGGCTCTGTTTCGGCTCGGCTCGGCTCGGTTCGGCTCTGCTCGGCTCGGTTCGGCTCTGTTCGGCTCGGCTCGGTTCGATTCTGTTCGGCTCCGCTCGGCCCCAAGCAGGTCGCCCCGGGCCCGCGCCCCACGTGCCGTGTGGCACTACAGCTGGCGAGCGGCCCCGTGTGCGCACGGCGGCACAGCGCCCCCTGGCGGTTTGGCGGACCGCCGCCGTGGCAGCRGGAGCAGCCTGTGTCCCGGCCCGCGCGCGGGACCCTCCGGCAGCAGCGACCCTCGCGACCGTCCCGGGAGGGACCCGCCACCAGCCGTAAGTGAGCGTGGGCGACACGGACAGTGAAAGCCAGCGGGTTCACTAAAGGCTTATCAGTGAATTACAGTGTAGAAATAGGTGTGTTGGTACCCTGGGCTACTGTACAAGCACACGGCAGTGGGGTTTGGATAAAGAGAAAACGAGATGAATGGAAGAGGGAGAGAGGGACAAGGAAAGAAAGGGAAAGGATTGATTTTGCAGGGYGACACTCATCAGTTTGTGACGATGAGGTAACGGGCGGTGCTTTAACACCCCGACTCTGCACAAAGTGCCTGTCCACTTACGGCCCAGAGCCGCGGTGCCGGTGCAGTCATTCCCAGCCCCTGGCACGCCAATAAACTACACTTTTTTACATACCTTTTATATTTTTTTATTTACTTTCTTACATGCTTTTTAGCCTTTTGTACTGACACTAATACCACGCGTGTCCACCGTGTTGCCGTGCCCCGCGCCGCTGCAGCCGCCCAGAACAAACGGGCGGGTGAAGCCCCGCAGAAATTCCCGCGTCCCTCGCTCTGCGCTGCGCGGGAACTCGGCCCGTGCGCGGGAACGGCCCTGTGCGCACGCGCAGCCGCGCCCCGCCCGCGCCGCTCGAGGCCCCGCCCCCGTCCCGCCTTTGCCGGCGGCGCGGCGCGCGCATCGCTCAGGTGTCGCGGAGCCGTGACGTCAGGGCGGCGCGCCGGGAGGCGGTGGTGCCGCCGCGGCATCCGCTGTCCCGGTTTGTGGGAGGGAGGCCGGGAAAGGACGGGGTGAGGGGAGAAGCGGCCGCGGTTTCCAGCGAGGCAGTTTCCAGGAGCCCCGAGGCTGTGTCGCTGCGGGCGGTGCTGCTCCTATGCACCTACCTCGGCTGCTGCTCCGCCGGCCGTGCCCCTGTGTGCGCTGCCCGGGGCGGCGCGGCTCCGGCGCGGAGTGCCCGCCACGATTCTGGCTCCGGGACAGCACTGCTGSGGCTGGGGCAGCGCGGCCTTCCTTACCTATTATACCAGCCGTGACAAAGGGCCTGCTCGGAGCTGGGAGGAAATAGCTGTTACCTAATTCCAGGGAACTGTTTCCCGCTGTCTCCTTGAAACAACTTTTAATCATGATAGAATTAATGGGAAGGCATGGAAGGGAGATGAGACATTATCTGACAGAACTTGGTTTTTGTGGGAAGGGGTATATATTGGCCTATATTATAGGTGGTTGTTTTCATCCTGCAGGCTGAAGAACAGCAGGTTTTATGCAAAGCAGAGTCTTCCCTTAATCTGAAGCAGGCTGAGTGCAGCAGTGGTGAGTTATTTCTTCAGTTTGTTACCTTAGAAGACAGCCTYGTGTGTAAAATGCAGGAATAAGGCCCTAAATACAGTACTGATGCTGCTTCCACTTACACTTCTATGTGCCTTGCTTCCCATGTCTCATATGTGAAATCATGTCTATAACATATTTGACACGTCTTTTGAATTAGCAGAGCATATCAGCAAAATGCTGTTAAATTAAAATTATATGCATGTATATAAGATAGAYCTGAGATTTTGCAAGTAGCAAGTTTCCTGTGAAATTTGGTTTATTGAATCTTCATGGCGACACCAAGTTTGTCACTGCTCTCTATTTTTCTTCTCCCATTCTTTCATTGTACTGTTCTGATCAAGGGYATTTGCTATCACATGTATAAACGATGTAATGGAAGTTTTTATCACTCTTGCTTTACATACAATGCTTTGAAATTGTATCATCATCAGAAGAAGGGATGCAATTTAAATTTTAAATTGTAGTGGTTTAAACCTGTTTCAGACCCTGAGGGCTGACTGAAACTTGTGTTTCTATCTCAGCTGTTGGGCACTAGTTTTTTTCTTTAGTGGTCTGTCAGATCTTTTTGAAAATGTGTTGAATGAGGAAGTCAAGGGAATGAGGTTGACCTTGTACTATTAGTCATCCTAGAAATTTATTATTGAATTATAGTTTAAAATATTCTTATGTGTTCTCTGTATCCATTTGGCTTTTCCTACATCATCAATACTGAACCCTGTGACAGAGTCTTTCCYGAGTTAATCCTTGGAATTGTCTCATTTTTTCACTGCCTGTTTTTTCTCTTGGGAATTTTTGGTCACTTTGGTGGTTTCTGTGTAACATGAAAAGTCATTCTTCTCAGAATTTTTATTGATACATATTAATACAATCTGATTGACTTTTCTTAACATTGTTGTCAGCCTTGCCTGCTGCTGACTTTATCACTGTGCTCCTCGTTGTTCTTTGTTGATGTATCCTTTGTGTCTTCTGCATGCCTTTTGCAGACCTAGTTTTGATGCCTTAGGATTTTTCGTTTCTGTATTTTCACGCGTCTGTATTCTTGTACTTCTCTAGTACAGCACTAAAAGCTACCATTTTCTCATCTTTAGACAAAACAATTCCTCTCTGAGCCTGAATCCAAGGACACCTCGCTGCCTTAGAGCCCCAAAATATGTAAACAACAGCGAGTTGAGGGGGAGCAAGTTTGGGGTGRTTGACATCATCACCTGTAAAGATCATTGGAGAATTAAGACCCAATATGTTAATAAGGCAGAACTTAYAAAAGGTGAAGATCTCGTGACCCGGTGTCCATTTTGGGTGTAGCCTCAGGAGGAGGCTTTTGTCTGCTCTAATGTGCCAATAGGCCTGTTAGGCCTGKRTTAAAGCTGTTWATTCTCATTCTCTTAAGTTTGTCTGGCCTCTCTTTCAGATCAGCCTGATTGATAAGACATCAGTTTCAGTGTTAAATTTTTGTAAGAATAAAATTGTGGAAGCGCTACCACAATTTTGGTGGAAAAAGCCACCTCAAATTGTTTTCTGCTCAGACATATTTATTTGTCTTCTTTACTGGGACTAGAATTGGTTAAACTGTAGATATCCTCATTCAATTACATAAAGAAAAATCAAAACATTGGTTTGGTAATGTTGGTATTGCTTAACATTAGTCATTGTGTTGGTTTTGGTGAYTGCTGTAATTATTAGTGAGTTTAAGTAGTACCTTCAATAACCACGATTGTATTAGTTCTTTCAGTTTCACTCTTCAGTAATTGTAGTGGCAATGTGGCATGATTGATACAGATATTGCAGTGCTGGAAAAGAGATTGATGGAAAAGTTTGTAGAAGGCTAGAGAGATATTAGTGTAACTACCAACTTTCCGTAAAGATGATTGGGTCCTGTCTAATGTGTCATGTCTATGTGATTCTGAATGCCACTGTTTGTGTTACTTTTTCAGGAGTGCTGGTGGTTTTTCAGCATGGAAACTTTGTTTTTACTGTTTTTCTTGAAACAAATGTACTGTAAGAGACGGTCCTAAGTTTCTACATGAACCTTCTGAGCTGCAGGATGTAGCATTATAGTTGTTKGTTATTTGTATAATCTACTGATAAGAAGCAGAAAGTCCTCTTTGTAAGCGCTCTTCAGAGAGTTAGTTTTAAGTGTCTGCACTGTCTTTCCTGGCTTCCACATTCTTAAACAAGAAAATTCTCCTTGCAGTTCATTTGCTTTAGACCATAGACTGTCCAGCTCTGGCCTCTCTCCAGGTTCTTTCTTCTTGAACTGAGTAAAGGGGGAATTGTGAAAACGAGATTGGAAATGATGTTCTAGAAGTAGGCTCAGACACTGAGTAAAGAAGGATAATGACATCTGCAGAGCTGTTTGTGCTCTTGAAGTAGCCCAGAATATATTTGCATTGTGATCATCAAGAGCAGACGGTATTTTGTGGAATATGTTTACTGCTTTGTCTCCTTTTGATTTCATAAGGTCTTAACTGAATACATTTTTTCACMTTCTTACAGTGGGAAATAATTTATTGAATTTGTAACAATACAACAAAAATACACAGAAATAATTGTTAGGATATGAATGAGTTATTGTATTACATTCTATCAGAAAAAGTGAAGTATGCAGATGTTTAGTGATGAAATCCTTTGTTTTGTACCCCTTCAGATTTTAGGCCTCACTGATTTCATAGCTGATGTGATTTTAAAATCAGTATTTATTTTAATATGATGGGAAAAGTACCTAGATACCTTTTCATCTGTAGCAAAACTATTTACTGCCCAGGAAAAACATTGAACTAGCACAGTTAGGTAAAAGTACAACATTTAAGAGACCTYGAATATTCTTGAAAGGAAGATGTGTTGCATGTACCTCCTTAGAAAGGGAATTAAAGAATCAAGAGTATAATAGAAGTGAAACTTTAGTTTTTACCAGTGAAAAGAGATGAAGGAATCTGAAAGTGGGAATGGAAGTGCAGGACATTGGATGATAATGATGAGGAACTGGTATTGGTGTTTGTGATCTCTGAAGACACAAAGTCATTGTGCTGATAAGGTGGTATTTGATGTGTTGCTTATCTTCAAGGTATAACTGCATTTGTTTTTCTTTCCTTGTTTTCTTTCTTTTCAAACTATCAGAGACTTGAGAGTCYAGTTAAGTATTGTCATATCTTGGAGAGCAGCTTTTTCTTGTTGTGTGTGGTTAAGTTTCTTTTTCCTTTTATAAGATAGAATTCTGGCATGGCAATAGAGTTGTGCTTGGGTCTGCAGCCGACAGCATTGAACGCTTTCTAGTGRAAGGGATTTATTTTCCTTCCTCCCAAAATGAATGTGTGCAATTTGGTTGTTATAGCGATGGGTGTGGACCACAGGAAAGCAGGAGAAAGCAACCAACATTCCTGAAATTGCCTAGTGTTTATTGTGAAGACAAAGTTTGACATTAGTAAGTAAAGATGGGAAATTATTCCCTATTGTGGTTTGAACGAATTTAATGGGGGCAAACACTCCCAAGTTCTAGCAAAGCCCCCTCCTTTCCCCACCCAGGTCCTAGAGACAAACTTTTCCACAGAGGAGAAAGGGAAAAGAAAAAAACTATATAT